CACCCTCACCAACGCCTGTTACCCTCTGACCCCTTGATTGTAGCCATCCTCGTGGGTGTGAAGTGGGGTTTCCTGTGGCTTTGATTTGCGTTTCTCTGGTGACTAATGACATCAAACACCTTTTCCTGTGATTATTGGCCATTTATGCGTCTTCTTTAGAGAAAGGTCTATCCAGATTCTTTGCCCATTTAAAAATTTGGTTAGCTGTCTTTCATTGTTGAGTTGTAGAGATCTTTAACTGTTCTTACAGATACATGATTTGCAGATATCCTCTCCCGCTGTGTGCTGGCTTTTCACGCTGCAGCACAAGATTTGACTTTGATGGAGTCCAACGTATCTTTTTAAAAAACTGCTATGCTTTGGATGTCACACCCAAGAAACCATTGTTTCTTGTGACCCACGGTCACAAAGACCTACACCTGTGGGATGTGTTCTGGGTAGGGTTTGAATTTCAGGGAGCTTTGGATAGGCAGACAGGAGGGTAGGTGTGGCCCGGGCCAGGAGGTGGGAATGAGGCGCGGCCGGGGAGGTGTGTGGGCTGCTGGCGGGCCGGGGTAGGCGCAGGGGTGAGGCTCTCACCTCGTGGGCACTGGCCGGGCGGAGGCTCTCTGGACGGCCGGATGCGGCGAGGATGAGGTGAGAGGTATTTTAGGAATAGTCATCTGCCTGCTCACTTGGGGAGGAAACATGCTGGAGCCAAGAATGAGGTACCGGGGGCCCGGATTAAAATAGCACGAGGGCGGGGAGGGCCAGGCATTTGAGGCAGCAGCTGGGGTGGGGCCCGGTGTGAGGGGGGACCTAGAAAAAGGAATCCAGCTTCCCGGCGCCCCCTGAGCTGGAGGAATGCAGCCTGGGGACAGTCTCCCCTCCCACCCAGACCGGCTTCCGCAAGGTTCTCTGAGCCCTGCGCCCCCCGCATCACTGGAGCCCTGGGCCAGCTGAGCCCTCTGTCGAGGAGGGGTCTTCCTGGAGACCCAGCTGTGCGCAGCAGGCGAGCTCCGGACGTGGTGTCCACGAGGACGTCCCTGGCCTACTGGCCAGTGGTAGCCAAGCCTCGGGGCTCGCCCTGCCCAATAGCTGTTGAGGGTAAAGGATGACCTAACACCCGTGTGGGGAGAATGGGCCTGGGCTCGGCACACGTCCACAGGGCACCGCAGGGTCTGGGGTGACCAGAGGGTGCGAGGCACGAGCTTGTACGTCCAGAGCGCCCTGCACGAGGGCTCACGTCGCTCAGGCTGGCACTGCTCTTCTGCTTAGACGGGCCGGGAGCAGCCTGATTAATATTTGCCCCGAGCCCTCGACACGTGGGGCTGGTGGTGGGGCCTGTCGGATTCCTGCCCCCGGGGCGAGAGCTGACTGTGGGCCGGGCCTGGGGAGGCGCCTGGGCAGCTAAAAATGTTCGTGTGCGTCAGGCAGGGCCCAGCTCTCTGCAGTGACCTCACGTCTCCACTTGTGGGGTGAAGGTGCACCTGTGCCTCCAGGGCCCAGACGGACACCAGCCCGGGACAGGCTCCAGCGGTGCCTTCTGCCGCCCCCTCCCCAGCCCTTCCCACGGTGTAAGGCACTCGCTGTGTGCCCTTGGGCAAGCCACCCGACTTCTCTATGCCTCAGCCTCTCCTCCATGAAAGGGGCCGCACAGGCCACTCCGTTGTTTGTTTTTGGAGGGGGGGTCTTTGGGTCTCCTATTAAGTTCGTACCTCTGGGGGAGACTGTGCCTCAGCTCTTAATTCTGTAAAGTGGAACTAGACTCATTTATGACTCGTTGGTTCCCTTCCTGTCTTCATGGCCTTTTGCAGACATAGAGGTTGCTTGTGGGAGCTTCTCCTTGAAATGCTTGCTCTGTGGGTGTGGGTTTTCCTTTGAAATGGAGGTGCTCCGAGCTGTGGAAAGCTGGGAGCAGCCTCGCTGGCAGGCTGGGCATCTCTGTAGATCAGATGGGTGGCTCCGGTCTGCCCAGGTGCCCGCAGCCTCCTGGTGCCACCCAGCCACACTGGTGCCCAGTCCCCCGGCGCACACTGCTCCCGCCACAGCTGTCACTCTGGTGCGTTTCTCCACCGTGTCATGTGCATCTCCCTCCCGCCCAGCCTCTGCAATCCCCCCCGGGGTTCTACGTGTGCAGGTTGACCCGAGCCACTGCTGGGCAGCCCCTGTGCTCCCACCTGCTGCTCTTTCCAGATACCGCTGTGGGCGGCCCCTGTCCAGTCCCCTGTGTCCCCGGACCGTGATGCAGAGTCACCTGCAGGCCATTTTTCACACCACTAGTTCACTCTAAAATTCCGAGTTGGTGCACCAGAGCAGGACAGAATTCAGACGGAGAGAGAGGAACAACTTTGCGGCGACAGATGCCACGGAGAAGAGATGACAGCAGTGAGGCATTCTCCCGGCTGCTCCTCAGCCATCGTCCAGGGTCTACTAGGTCAGGTGTCCGCAGGGACCAGTCAGCGAAGGCCAGCAAAACGTGGGACGGGGCACAGGGTGGCCAGTGATGGAATGCTGCTAATCTCAGATCTTTTCCACGAAGGGCCCGTCTTTCCCCTCGGGTGCAGCTACAAATCCGGACAGGACGGATGGAGCAGCTCTGGGTCCTGGAGCAGACAGATTGACGTTTTGTTTTTTCACATCTGCCAGCCTGGACTCCAGCACAGCCCCAAGTCCAGAACGGTGTGCTGGGTAGAAAGCTCCGAGAGAAGCCGCTCTGCCTGGTCTGAGGGGCAGGAAGGGCTCTCCTCCAGGACCTGCGGGGCACACCACCACCCAAGTCCCCGCCTGGCCACCGAGGGCTGCCCACACAGTGCAGATACAAATAGCGCCGCAGTGGTTTTGAAAACTGAGCTGAAATTGAGCCGTAGCCCCTGAAAACCACCCAGAACTTGCAGCTTGAACTCAATTTAACCGCGTCGGTTCCCTGGTAGAACATAAAACACGACGTTCTCCACAGGACTGAAGCAAGACAGTCTCCTTACGGAACGGTAAAAACGTCTAGGATATAAACCCAAGTTACTCACCACGAAGAATAGGAAAATCTCAGCAACTCTCAAAAGACAATCAACAGACAACAAAGAATCGAAAAACAGTCAACTAAGGTGACACAGATGCTGGAATTATCAGATCTTCAAGGCACTAGTGTAACTGCTCTAAAGGGCAACAGCAGACGCTCTTTAAATCAATGCAAAGACGGACCATCTCAGGAGAGAAATAAAAACTGTAAGAAAAGCCAGCTCGAAATTTTTAAATTGAAAATACAGTAGCTAAATAAAAACTACACTTCAGTAGTTCAGTAGTAGAATGGTGACGACAGAGGACGAATTAATGAACTTGAAGATCAATGAAAGTCTGAACAACAGAAAAAGTGAAAGTCTGAACAACAGAAAAAAAATCGGAAAAAAAGAGAACAGACTCAGGGACAGCACCATGAAATCTAACATTCGTGTCACCTGAGACCACAGGAGAGGGGAAAGGCTGGTGCAGAAGAGAATGCTGGAGAGAGAATGGCTGAAGACCTCCCAAACTTGATGCAAGATCACCGTACAGCTTTAAGATACTCAGCAAGTCCCAAACATGCATTACATCACAAACTGCTAAAAACCAAAGTCAAATAAATGTGGAAAGCCAGAGAAAAAGGACTGATGATATAATAACCTGGAGTTTTAAATGCAGAGTTAGGTATCAGCTAATTAGAAACAAAAGTCTTTGAACGCCATGTGGGTCAACCCGACAAGCCAAGCGAGACGCGCTGGGCTGTTCAGATGGGTGGCCGGCTGCGGGGTCGACGGGAGCCAACCTCTGGGCCTCCCCGGGCCCTGAGTCATTCTCCTGATTAAGGATCAGGGGAGCCTCCAGACGCTGTGGTGCAGGTCAGGGGAGCTGTCCACTTCCTGTCCCGGTTCTGCACGGTCGGGCCGACACTCCTGTGGGCAGAGCAGGGGACATGGACATCCCTGCACTGGGCCATGGGCTCCTCGCCTGGTTTTACTGGTAAGAGCTGACCTGGGGTCGGAGGCCGCCCAGCTCTGGGGTGAACCGGGGCCACCTCAGGGGCGCAAAGTGCCCGCCCTGCCTGGGGCACAGACGGCTTCCAGCCTGGTGTCATCCTGTCCCTGAGGGTCCTCTCCTCCGCCCTGTGACAGGCAGCCCCCCCTCAAGCCGTGGTCTGGTTTAGTGAGCCACGCAGTGTGTGCCTGCTGTGGGAGTGGGTCTGATTTAAACACTTTATGCAGGAAAACATGATGGTGCTCATGCCCGTTACCTGGCAACCAGGCGTTAGATGCTGTGTGTGGAGAGGTGTGTGCAGACGTGAGCGATAGATGACACGGGGCCGCTCTGTGCCACATGGACCGATCTCAGACTTCGGGAGTGGCACCGATGACCAGGAATGGAATCGCCCTCAGGCTGTGTTTTGAGTGAGGGGCCTGGCTTGGAGGGGATTCCCAGGAGAAGCCTGCATCACCCTGCTTCGCCCGGCAGCCTCTGGTTTCCTGCTCAGCACCCCTGGGTGCAGGTGTGGGGGGCAGAGGGCCGCCCCTCCCAGGCCAGTTCTCGTGCTGCAGGGTCAGCCTGTGGGACGCGGCATGAGGAGGTGGCGGTCTTCCCTCCCGTCTGAGGCCACAGCGTGTCTCCCGAGGGACACACACCTGATGTGCCTGCAGCCAGGAAGGATGGGACGTTTGTGAGGCCGTGTGGGCTCGGCCCCTGTGCCAGCCCCTCCCCTGCTCTGGAGAGCTGAGGCTGCTCCTGCCGAAGGGCCTTCCTGTCCTTGTGGCCATGCACGCGGTGGCTTCATGGCCAGGACAGGAGGCCTGGCATGTCCCCTGGCCCCTGGATTAGGACCCCTGACCACTGGGTTATGTCTCCTGACCCTGGGTTATGTCCCCTAGCCACTGGGTTATGTCCCCTGACCCCTAGATTTTGGCCCCTGACCCCTGGATTATGTCCCCCGACCCGGGGGTCGTGACCCCTGATCCATGGTCTGTGAGCCCTGACCACCGTTCATGTCTCCACAGCATCAAGATGGTCCTCATGTGGACGAGCGGCGACACCTTCAAGACGGTCTACTTCCTGCTGAACGGTGCGCCCCTGCAGTTCTCAGCGTGCGGGCTGCTGCAGGTGCTGGTGGACCTGGCCATCCTGGGGCAGGCCTACGTGTTCACCCGCCACCCCCTAAAGCCGGCCCCCCACGCAGCACACCCCGCCAGCGCCAAGGCCCTCTGAGGCAGCCGGGAGGATGAGGATGCGGGACCACGGGCCGTGGGCTCCGGCCAGGCCACCTGTCCTCCCCGAGTGGGGCAGGTGGGTGCTGCGGCCCCGAGACAGGGTCCCAGCCATTGGGTCTTGCTCAGCTTCTGTGGCTCTCACGGGGTGATGGGGCCTGGGTGCCGACGTTGTGCTCTGTTATCCAGGACTCGTGTGAGCAGGTTTTCCCCCCAGGCTGGGAGCCTGCTGCTCTCAAAGTGACGGAAAAGCAGGTCTCCTCTCCCACTTTGGCTCAAAATACTGCTGGCTGGAGCCTGGGTCATGTTCACATACCAGGAGGAGGCCACCCTGGGCCCTGCAGGACCGAGGACCTCAGGAAACCTCCACATCTCAGCCCCCGTGGCCTCGACGTGGCTGATGGGGCCGAGGGGGCCTGCAGCTGGGCTGGGGAGCCCCAAGATGGGAGAGACGGGGGGCAGGAGTGAGAAACGGCACCAGGAGAGCCCAGGTCCCAGCCCACGGAGCCCACAGCCTCAGACTGGCTGGGGGTGACTCCCGGCAGGGTCGGGCCTGGGACACGTCGGGGTGAGGTACCAAAGCACCACAGGGCTCTGGTTGCGAAACCCTAGGTAGGTCCCTTTCCAGGGCCCCCAGTGGCCTCGCTGCTCCGCCGGCCCCTCCTGGGCAGGCTGCTGTGGACCCACCGTCTCCAGCCGGGCTCTGGCCAGTGTGAGCCCCGGGGTGTTGGGAGCGGGGCCTGGGGCATGGCAGGTGCAGCAGCCCCCGGGGCTGCCTGGGAAGGGGCAGACCCACTGGCCATCCCCCCGGAGGGCTACCGCACAGGCATCCCTTTCCTCTGGGAACCGTGTGCTTGCAGATATGGCCTTAGGTGTCTGTCTTCCAGGCCTGGAGATGCCTGCGGGTCAGGGCAGGGGACAGCGAGGCAGGTGTTCCCCCATGCTGTGCAGGGCATCCCTGCTGCCACCCTCCTCCTGTGCAGCCCTCCGCATCCGCTGTGCCTGGTGGTGGTGGGGTGCTGGTCTGACACTGGTCCCCGTTCGGTTTACACGAGCATCTCAGCTGTGCCCAGCGGCCCTGCTCCAACTCCGGGCCCCGCAGGGCAAGTGTTTAGATGCTTCCACACGGCTCCCGCAGGCGCTTTCCTTCCCCCAGGCAGAGGGGTGGCTCTGTAGCGTCCACGGTCCTGGGGCTGGTGCCAAAGCTGCAGCGTCTGCCGTGGCCAGTGCACGGCGTGCGGAGCCGTTTCCTCCTCCTGAGTTTTCCTCAAAAACTCCTGAATGTTTGAGGATCCTGCTTAGTTCTCTGGCCTGCAAGACGCTTTGAAAACGTTTACTTTTTAAAAATGAAAGGAGATGTCTGTAGCAGTCATTGCCTCCAAATTAACACATTACCAGTGCAGGGGTGACCTACATGCCACGTGTGGGAGCACTGCTGGTTCTGTCAGGGCGGCTTTAATTCAATAAACTGCTCGTGGATCCAGCGTGGCCTTGTGAGTGGCGTCGGAGTGGGGGGCCAGGGCAGAGTAAAGGGCCGGTCTCGTCCTCATTCACCTCAGGGGACCCCAGGGAAGGGCTGGGCCAGCGTCTCCTCCTTGGGGGACAGTTGTGGCCCCTGTGAGACCGGGGCTGCTCCCTCAGGCCCCCGGGGACAGTGACCGTCCTGTGCCAGCAGGGCCAGGCGGGGGGAGGTGGTGGCGCCCTGGTCTCCGCCAGTTCACACAGTTCCCTTAACAACGGGATGCCTCAAAAGGTTGGGGAGTGTCTCCTTTCAAGGCCAGAAGAAGTGTTTCGAGGAAAACGGGTAATTCTGTGTAGCAAGTAGGGTTGGATCCCTTTGTGCCGAGCAGTTCTTTTTTCGTGGAGAGTATTTCTGCTGAGGGCAAGACCAAAAGAATCAACAGAGTCGAAATACATGGAAGTGATATATTTTACGTTTTTTCAGCGAGTCACCCCAGCCTGTGGCGCTGGCCTCGGAGAGTCTGAGTGAGCTGATCAAAGGTGGTGACTCCGATGCGGCCGCCCCAGGCAGCAGGGAGCCTCGGTGTGGACCCTGGAGCCCCTGTACTGAGTCACGCAGGACAGGGGTCCTGCTCTGGGGGTAGATTTTGTTTTCCTTCTGATAATGTGTTAATTGAAAATAACTATTTTAATTAAAAAATTAATGCCGTAGAAGTTCAAATACTAAAAAAAACAAAAAATATGAAGGTGCCTTTTGGGGACTTCACTGCTGAGCCGGGAAACAGCACTGAACAGGCTCCCGTGTTCCTCTGGGGAGCGAGCCCTGGAGCTGCCCTTCAGACACAGAGAAGAGAGAGCTGTTTCACAGGCCCAGCTGCTGCCGCAAGAGCTCTGAACCCCGAGCTCTGGGCACAGCCATCCACCGGGGAAAGGGCAGACGTTTTTAATAGCCCCACGAGAAGCGGGGCTTCTAGTGAAAAAAATATAGGAAGGTGACCTTTCCCCCAAACCCTAAATGCCCTGTTTATTTTTATAGCTCTTCCTCTCAACAAGGATAGCATTTTGGAAATGGGAACAAAATGGTGCTGTTGCCCCAGCTCCTGGGGTGCGTGAGAAAGTTCATCTCGTTCAGTTGAGCTGCTGAAAGCTCTGAGCAGATAAAGAGCTGCAAACGGTGCCGGCACCCTGCCCACAGCTCTCGAGCTGCCCTCACCACCCCAGCCCTGGTATCCAGCTGGCCAAGAAGAAACTCTGTGTGTGTGCGCGCGCGCGCGCAGAGGCGGGGGATGCATTTTCCCCAAAGATAAGGAGTACAGGAATTGGGGCTATTTTGGAAGCAAATATGGGGGTTTCCAACCCTCAACATTGACGGTGGAGCATGTTCAGCCCTGGAGCTGCCCTGTTCAGTCTGAGTGGCACACGCGGGTCAGCTGGGGGTGGGGGAGGGCCCGTCAGGGCCCAAGGGAGGATGCACAGCCTGTGCAGAAAGCAGCCCTGAGGGGAAGGGGAGCGCTGGCTGATTCCTGGAATGTCACAGACGCAAGTCACCCCCTAAATGCTTTGCAGACGTTTTGGGGTCAACCAGACAGCTCTGGCGGGGACCAGGATCCTGCATCTTGGGGCTGTGGAGCCAGAGGGTTCTTCCGGATCACTCTGGTTGTACCGATGGGGAAACTCAGGTGCAGAGGGGTGTGCCTGGCCCACTCAGCCTGCCCACTGGTTTGGTGGCCAGATCAAACCCAGTACCCCCGCGTGAGCGAGTCGTGAGTCGGCGGGAACTGACCTTCGCTCTCGGCACAGCACTTGGGGGGTTGAGACAGCTGCATTCGCAAACTCAGTCTCCTGTCCTCCCTCCTGCAGTGCTTTCGAGCGTTTTCAGCAGGTGGCCAAGGAGGCAGTGATGGCAACACCACGTCTTGCAGGAGACGCACAGAGCTGTCCCATAGGAGTGTCTCCAGTCTGGGTTTCCTTGACATGCATGAGGGAGCAGGCCGGCGGGGACCTGGCCAGTTCCCGGCCCCCAACCCAGATGGGCAACCGAGGCCACAGCCAGCGGAGCCTTCCAGAGCGCAGCCGGAGGGACGGTGTGGGGGGCGGGGGGTGGTCAGGGTGGCGGTGGGGAGACGGAACAGACAAGCCAGTGGCTGGCGCTCCGCCCGCGTGGTGGGCAGTGGGTGTGCTCCGCCCCTCCCCACACACCCGCGGTTCCCAGCAGGATGGCCGACGGGCACCCCATCCCGTGACCCGAGGTGGCCTCTGGTCTTGCAGGGCGCCTGGGTGCCCTCAGAGCCACCGCGGGGTGGGGGGGAGGACAGAGGACAGCTGCCTTGGGTTACTCCACCGCTGACCGAACCCTTGGAGGGAAAATCTGCGAGGCCTCCCCGCCCCGCAGGAGGAAGCGGTTCTTCCCGGACGACCAGCCGTGCTGGGTGACGAGCGAAGTGAAAGTGACGAGCACAGATTCCTCTGGCCTCCAGAGAAGCAGCTCAGTCACCCCGGGCGGGGTCGGGGGCCGGGGCGCCCGAGGGGAGGGTGGGGCCGGCTGACGTGCAGGCCTTCAGCTTTGCCGGGCATTTTCAGGGGCGAACAGATGAGGAGGGATCCCGGAAGATCCCCACGGAGCTTGTGCCGGGGAAGGGAGGTCAGAGGTCAGGGCTGGGACCTCCCTCCCCCGAAGGAACTGGCGTGCTGTGAGCATCAGTGTCACACCTCTGTCCCTATCGCTCGGCAGCGATGTGGGCTTCTGCAGGCGTGATGAGGAGACCCCCTCTGATGGGCATGGCCCACTGTGGGTGACACGGCGGGCGCAGGAAGGGACTGTGCCCTCTCCCAGCCCCACTGCGCCCCACCCCCACCAGTGACGCGCAGGGGAAGGTCAAAGTGAGGCCTGGGGACGAGCTACAGGCTTGGAGCTTCTGGGATCGCTGAATTTACTTTTAGCTGGCCATCACGGAGTCAAAAGTCCAGAGGCAGAAGGAAAGCGGAGGACAGGCTGGTGACGCTCCTTGGAGTTCAACTCCAAAGCACAGGATGGCTGTGACCCCCCGATTCAGGCCGGGGTCAGCCCCGGGCCAAGTTCTGGGCTGTGCGGAGCGAGCAACATGCACGGCAAAGGGAGCCGGGCCCCCAGAGTCGTCCCCGTCCCTCCGTGCGCAGCGGGAGGCGAGAATGCGGTTCTGGTCCTGGAGCTCCAGGGAAGCAGCCTCTTCGCCGGTGCCGCGTCCCCGCCGGGTCAGGGCGGCCCCGCGGATGCCCACAGCGCGGCCGCGGAGTCCCCGGTCGGGCCGGTACCGTCGGGGCCCTGCGAGCCATCGTCCTCCGCGGCGGAGGCGCAGGCAGAGGCGGAGTGCGTGCTGTCCTCGCGCAGGGCGGGCTCGGGGCTGGCGGCGCGCTGCTGCTGCTGCTTGAGCTCCGAGTAGGAGCGCGAGAAGGTGTGGAAGATGGAGGTGACTGGGAAGGCCATGAGCAGGATGCCGCTGAGGATGCTGCTGAGCGCCACCACCTGCCCGGGGAGGCTGCGCGGCACCATGTCGCCGTAGCCCACGGTGGTCATGGAGATGACGGCCCACCAGTAGCTGGCTGGCACGCTGGAGAAGTCGCGGCGCGCGCCCAGCTCGCGCTCGGCCAGGTGCACGAGTGGCGCAAAGAGGGCCATGGCCACGCAGAGGAAGAGCAGAAGCAGCCCGAACTCGCGCGCGCAGCGGCGCACGGTCAGGCCGAGCGAGCGCAGCCCCAGCGAGTGGCGCGCCAGGCGCATGACGTAGAGCACGCGCAGCGCGCGCAACAGCCGCAACACCAGCCCCGCGCGCTCCAGCAGCTTGTTGCCGCCTGCGCCCGGCCGCGCCGCCAGGCCCACGAGCAGCGACACGTAGAAGGGCAGGATGGCCAGGATGTCGATGATGTTGAGCGGTGTCCGCAGGAAGGCACACTTGCTCTCAGCCTGCAGCGAGCGCAGCAGGAACTCGAAGGAGAACCAGGCCACGCACACCGTCTCCAGCACAAATAGGTTGCGGCACTTGGGGGAGCACTCGCCCTGGGGGGGGAGAAGGGGACACGTGTTGGGGGCAGGGAGGCCTGTCCCTCCCGGGCTGCCCTTCCTCCTGACGCCCACCCGTGCACATGTGCCACTGTAAGGGCAAGGGTTGTACACCAAAAAAGCCCAATTCCTGTAAAAAGAAAAACAACACAAAAATTTACTGGGAGGTTGGCTTCCCACAGGACAGCAATCAGAGCTCAGCGGACCAACTCCCCAGCAAAACCAGAGAAAATCGTTAAAAAACAACCACTTAAAGTCTCTGGAAACACTCCTGAGGACAACAGAAATTGACAAATGTATTCAAGAAAATCTGTGGAAATTGGTTTAAAAAGGAGTCTTTGGTATTTGAACCGAGACTCCCCCAGCGTCCCAGCTCAGCGAGGAGGGGGCTCCAGTCCAGAGGCTGCAGCCACCAACGCGGGGCTCCCTGGTCCCGTGGGCTGAGTCCCCGGGGAGTGCGGCTGGGAAGAGGGGCACCTGCTCCCACGCAGCCCCCACTCCTGCAGTGGAAAGGAGGCTGTACCTTGAGAACGCCGGGACCCCCAGAGCCCTCGCCCCCGCTTGTGAGGGTGGTTCCACGCCAGGAGAGACGACAGAGAGGACCTCAGCCCGCTGGCTCCCCGTCTCTCTGCAGGGCAGTCAGCTCAGAGAATGGGGGTCACCAAGGAAGGAGCTTGCCACTGCCCCACCCCCAGGCCCAGAGCCCTGGCACAGAGATGCTGTGTAGCGGAGACGCAGACTGTAAGTGAGATGCCCCTGATCACTTCCAGAGGAACCGACTTCATTTGCAACAGAAAGTGGTGAAGTTCAAACCCAAGGGTGCTCTCAAGAGTGGTAGAGGTTGCAGTGAAGGAAAACAAGAGGACGTTTGTGGACCTAATGAAGACACAGCCTAGGCTGTGGGGTGGCCAGCTTGCAGGAGAGAACTGGGGTGCAGAACTGAAGGAGCCCTCCTGGAGTCAGAACGAGTATCAGCTGACCTCAGAAACTGTTCCATCCTGAGAGCTGCGATGCGGCTGGATTGGCTGCTAGAGGAATTTATGCCCAAGGGCAGCTGAAAACAATAGAGCAGTCAGCCAGCAATTAGAGGACTTTCAAAGTTCCGTCAGGGAAAGAGACCCAAGTGCTACCAAAAGCAGTGTCCTCCCAGGGTGACTGGGCCTCTTAGAGGAGCAGCGCCAAGGGCTGAACATGTGTGCGTGCATGCGTGCGTGCGTGTGTGTGGCAGGGGGCAGGGCAGGAATAGACTTCACTAAAATAATCCAACCAATCACTGAACAAGCAAATGACAGTAATGTGCCCTGAACTGGGGAACAGGGGAAGGCAATGTCCAGTGTTCCTAAATTGTATTGTCTAAAATGTCTAGTTTTCAATAAAAAATCATAGTGCAGGCAAGGAAACAGTGAAGTATGACCCACACATCAGAAATCAGGCAACAAAAACTGCCAATGAGAGTGACCAAACGTCAGATTTAACAAAAAGCTTCAAAACTGCCATTATAAATACATTCACAGAACTAAGGAGTACTTGACTAAAGAAGTAGTGGAGGGGGCTTCCCTGGTGGCGCAGTGGTTGAGAGTCCGCCTGCCGATGCAGGGGACACGGGTTCGTGCCCCGGTCCGGGAGGATCCCGCGTGCCGCGGAGCGGCTGGGCCCGTGAGCCATGGCCGCTGAGCCTGCGTGTCCGGAGCCTGTGCTCCGCAATGGGAGAGGCCACAACAGTGAGAGGCCCGCGTACCGCAAAATAAAACTAAAAAAAAAAAAAAGTAGTGGAAGGTATGATGACAATCCGTTCCATCAGATGGAGAAGATCAATAAAGAAAAATTTAAAAAGAACCCAGTGGAAATTTTGAAGTTGAAAAGTACAATAACAAAAAATTCACTATAGGAGCTCAGCAGTGGATGTAAACTGTCAAGAGAAAAGGTTTGGTGAACTTGAAGATCGATTGGTGACGATTACGCAGGCTGAGAACAGAGAGACGCAAGAATCGTGCTGGAACCAGGGAATCCAGGTACCAGCAGGAAGGGGAGAGGAGAGGAGGAGAAGAGTGTTCGAGAAACCGTGGCTGAAAACTTCCAAACCTATTGAAAAACAAGGACCTACACACCCAGGAAGCTCACTGAGCTCCAGCAGGGAAAAGACATCACAGGAAAAATGCTGACCGCCAAAGACAAGGAGGAAACCTTGGAAGCAGCAGAGACAGCGACAGGTCACCTGAGAGCTCACTCTGGTGAGATTACGCCCACATCTCAGCAGAAAGCAGTGGGCAGTGTGTTCAAAGTGCTCAGAAGACACCCGAGAATCCTACATCCAGCAACCCTGTCATTAAAAAATGAGGGTGACATAAAGACTTGCCCAGATAAACAAGACTGAGAGCTGCCTTACAAGAACTCGAAAGGAAGGTCTTCAGGCTGAAAACCAGTGACCCCAGAGTCTTCTTAGATGTGATACCAAAAGCAGCAGCAAACAAGATAAAATAGATGAATTAAACTTAATCAAATTTAAAACGTAATCACTTCAAAGGCCTGAAATGCTCCTCTTCAAAACCCTTCTGTTCAAGCCCTGACTGTTAGTACCTCAGAAGGTGACTTTTTGGAGATGAGGTCTTTAAAGACAATCGCAGAATGGGAGAATATATTTACAAATCATATACGATAGGGACTTGTATCTAGAATACAGAAAGAATTCCTACGACTCAACCATAAAAAAGACAAACAACCCAATTAAAAAAATGGGCAAGGGATCTGAATAGACATTTCTCTGAAGAAGATACACAAGTGGCCAAGAAGCACATGAAATGGGGCTCAACACCGTTAATCATCAGGGAAGTGCAGATCAAACCCACTCGAAGGTCCCACTTCACACCCACCAGCACGGCCAGAATGAAAGAGCAGACGACAAGTGCTGGAGAGATCAGGGCCTCGTGCACTGCTGATGGGAACATGCAACCGTCCAGTCACTTTGGACAAGAGCCTGGCTGTTCCTCATACAGTTCCTCACATGACCCTGCAATTCCACTCCTAGGTGTGAGCCCAGAGAAGTCAACATGCATATGCACAAAGAAGCTGCACACAGATGTTCGTGGCCGCATGACTCACAAAAACTGGAAACAACCCAAATGTCCATCCGATGATTAATGGATCAGCAAAACTTGGTAGCGCCGTACAAGGGGACATTATTGGGCCACGGAAAGGAATGCAGCGCTCATTCCTGTTACAACACAGATGAACCCTGAAGATAGTTCAGAGTGAAAGGATCCAGTTACACAAGACACGTGCTGGGTGGTTCTGTTCTCACGGATCCAGAACAAGGAAATCTATAAAGACAAAGTCGATCCGTGGTTGCTTGGGGCTGGTGGGGGGAGAGATGGGGCCGGGCAGTGAGTACTGAAGGCACGGGGTCTCTTTTGCGAGGTGGAAATGCTCTAAAATCAGATGTGGTGATGGCAGCACAACCTGTGAACATACGAAAACCTGCTGAATCGTTCACTCACACTGGCAGATGGTACAGTGTGTGGATTATATATCAGCAAAGCTTTTTTTTTTTTTTGCGGTACGCGGGCCTCCCACTGCTGCGGCCTCTCCCGTTGCGGAGCACAGGCTCCGGACGCGCAGGCTCAGCGGCCATGGCTCACGGGCCCAGCCGCTCCGCGGCATGTGGGATCCCCCCGGACCGGGGCACGAACCCGTGTCCCCTGCATCGGCAGGCGGACTCCCAACCACTGCGCCACCAGGGAAGCCCAGCAAAGCTAATTTTTAAAAAAGACTTATTAATTAATCTCACAGAGTGTGGCTGGCTGGGTGTGGACAGTGAGTGAGGACCCCGGTGTCGGGGCTCCGTGTGCAGGGGCATCCAGAGCGGAAGCCAGAGAGTGTGCAGACCTCCCCAGCTGCCCCCGTCTGGCCACGTCTCACCTTTGACCCCGAGCCCCCAGCCAGCCCAAGTCCCCTCCCCAGGTTACCTCTATCACTGCTGAGGAACAGAAGGAGAGGTCAGGAGAACACACCAGACTCAGCGGACGCCCCTGATGCTCTCTGCTGCCAGTCTCGGCGCGGCTCACACCGGGCGTGAGGGGACCCGGGGCCTTGCACCGCCCCCACCTGGCTCACGTCCCTCTGAGTCCCCGCCCAGCGAGAAGTGTGAGCTTCCGTCGCCAAGCGGACCGGAAGTGAGGACCCGCCTGGTGCTCCCAACGGGGAGCAGGTCGTGGTTCAGAAGACATTTGCAGCGCTGGCCTCGGTGCCCTGAGGGCGCAGAGGTAGGCAGGACCCCGCAGGGCTGCTCCCCAAGCCATACACCAACTCGTCAATGGGGAACCTGGGGCACCCCGACTCCCGCTAACCTCTCCGATTTGCACTTTCTGAGCCAGCCGCCCAGTGCCCAGGGCGCTGTATGTGTATCGAGCGGAGCCTGGCGTCCTCATTAATGAGCTGTCTGAGCCCAGCGCCTTGGCCTCTACGTCAGTCACCCTCCCGGTCGTGCGCCTGGAAAACCCGGCCGTGTGCTTACTAAGGTCACCACTTTAGGATAAAGCCCTGAATGTCACGGGGCAGGTCCATCCTCAAACAGAGGTGCTGGCGGCTCCAGCTGGATGAAGGGCTCCCACCGCATCTCGGTCTCGGACCCGCTCGTGGGGCACACAGTGGAAAAGCCGAGTCCACTCCCGAGCAGCGAGGGTGGGGTGGGCGCTCCAAGCCTTGAGGGCGAGCCTGGGGCACACCTTGTCAGGCTCTGGGAGGTTACAGCACCTCCCCGCGGCGCTGATGCCCCGGGCCTCTGACCACCTGGCACGGGGCGTCCCGCTGGGCCTGAGGCCTTAGGACACAGCAGCTGCAGGATTTAGGCAGGAAGACGCAGCTGGGGCCGTGGGGACTGACAGGGCTGGAAACCTGGGCGGGGAAAGGGGACCCGCTGGTCAGTGAGCAGGAGGGGAAGGTGGAGCCCCAGGTCGTACCTGCCTCACCTGCTCGGGACTCTGATGACCTCAGCCCAAGGG